GCAAAGAAACGGTGGGGGTGGGGCGCCCTCCGCCTGGATATGTGGTCCCCAATCGCAGTCTCTCCGGGAGGACAAAGCTATCAAAACGGAACCGAATGATGACAGTAAAAAGCCGACCCAGGCTGCCGCGCGGCCAGCCTGTCCCTGGAATGCCTGTGCCCCGGCCGTGCCAGGGCCCCTGTGTGGACGGTGCTGCCGGGCCCCTGGCCACCTCTGGCCAGGGTGCTGCACGTCACCTGGGTCTGCCCCTGGAAATCAAAGACGGGATCACTTCATGGCACTACAAATCTGGAAAAATAAAAAAATCTCAGCTAGAAAGAATGTCCGATTTGGAGATGGCGAGAGGACAGGGTGGGGGCCGTTTGGTACCGCTGAGGGGGGAGCCCCGGCCACGAGGCCCTGATGCTGGGGTCACCTGTGCGGGCACAGCACCCCCCTGCTCCAGTGGGGTGCTCAGAGGCCCGTTGGGCCACAGACCAAGACCTGGCTGCGGTCGGAGCGCCCCGTCCTCCTCCCTCCTGGCGCTGCGCGCAGGGCGTCTTGGATTTGTGCTTCCCTTTGGTTTAACAGTGAAAGACGGGAGGGAAATGGTTTTTGTCACTTGTCCAAAACTGAGAGGAGGCTGATGTGGGCGGGCGGCAGACCTGTCGGGTGAATGCGCCCGGCCCTGGCCATCGGTCACTTGCTCGGTGCAGAGCGGACGTGCCTGGCACCACCGGCGGCGGGACAGGCTTTCTGTGGGGCGCTGCGGTGACACCAGGATCAGAGGCCCCAAGACGGGGTCTGCCTGCGGCGGCTGCTGATCACCGGGACCCCATCTTTCTCTCTGGTAGATGGACAGGTGGGCCGTCCTGGTGGGCTTTGAGGAAAATAGCGAATTCTTCTTCCATCTCCAAAGTTGAAAAAGATCAGACAGTTACTAAAATAATTTCTCAATTATGTTCTGGTGGCCGAGGGCCCGGTGGCCCCGGCGGGTGAGGTGTTGGAGCGGGAGGGCCCCGCGAGCCAGGCTCGCTGGGGACAGGCACAGTCAGCTGGGCCGGGCGCGCCCAGGTACGGCGGCTCCTCACGCCAGCGCGCAGCGGAAGAAGCTGCTCCTCTTCTGCTGGTCGGGGGTGATCTTGACGCCTTGGCTGCTGCCCTGGGGGCTGTTGCCTTCCTGAGGTCACAAGGGGTGGAGTTACTCCCGAGCACGGCACTGCCTGGCCACCCGCCCCGCCCCACCCACTCATCACCTCCACCTCACACAGCCCCCCCCCAGCCCGCCCTCCTGCTCCCACCCCCACTCCGTCCCCACCGCCCAACGGGGTCAGTCCATCCACCGACCCCTGACAAACCGCTCACCCTTCCACCCCTCCACCCGCTTCCAATCACCAGCCAGTTCTCTACTGTGTGCCAGCTGGTCCCCCACAGTCTGCACCCCAGCCCCCCTCGCCCGGCCCCTCCCACCTGGCGCTCCTCCCTCCCTTCCTCTTCCTGGTCCCCTGCCCCTCCTTCCTCCTCTCTCCCACTCTGTACCGAGCACTAATCTGGGAGGCAGTGGAAGCGCAGAGCGACTGTCCCCGGGGATCTGGAGGCTGGGTTCAGGGTGCCCCGCCCTGTGCGGGGCTGCCCTCCCCACTGCCCGCTGACCTGCCTTCCACCTGCTGCCAGGGGCGGAAAAGCTGGACGCTGACCTTCTCAACCCCCTGTCCCCAAAGCGCGTCAGTGCCCTCCCAGAGCGCCCGACATTCTGAGCCCTGTCACCTGGCCCACCAGCCCCAGGAACTCCTCAAACCCTGTTTTCCCCACCTCCCCGTTTGGGAGCCCCCACCCTCTCCACCAACTCCTCTGTCTCAGCTCTCAGGCAAAACCTGCCTCCCCTGCAGGAACCCAGCCGGGGTGCGCTCGCTGTGGGGGGGACCGAGACCTTGGGGAGACACAGAGTGAGGTTCCCACAGCGGAGGGGGGGATGGGAATATGCATTTGGCCACGTCTAACAGGGACTTTCTGAAGGGGGGGGCTGGGTGGGGGCAACAAAGAGTGGCTCCTGCAGAAGTCCCCACCTAGCGCCACACTGACAACGCTGTGTGCGGGAACCTGTCCCCGCAGCAGTACCCAGAGGGAGAAAGTGCAGATGCACACAGCCATGGGGATGCTGTCAGGGCCGCATCAGGGGCACCAAAGACAACAGGGAAGGCAGAGGCAGCACACAGCTGCACCTCAAACACACCACCAGCAGGAGGGGCGGGACTCAGCTCCTGACCCAAGTTCAGAGAAAGAAGCCAGGTGTGGTGACGCTGGCCTGCAATCCCAGCGGCTTGGGAGGCTGAGGCAGGAGGATGGCGAGATCAAAGCCAGCCTCAGCAACTCAGGGACCCTAAGCAACTCAGGGAGACCCTGTCTCTAAATAAAATACAGAAAGGGCTGGGGAGGGGCTCAGCGGTGGATGTCCTGGAGTTTAATGGCTGGTACCAAAAAAGGAAGAGAAAGGAAGAGCGAGGGCCAGGCCCGCACCACACCCCCGCCATGCGCTGGGGCACTGGCCGGCTCTCCAGGTACCAACAGGCTCCACGGGCAAAAGGGGCGAGAGGGTTGGGAAGGTGTGAACTTTGACCTTTACACTGAAGAAAAGAGGGATGGCGAGGAAATCCTGCCGCTGTGGGCTGCGCGTTGTCCCCAGGCTGCTCTGACCAGGCCTCGCCGTCACCCCAGCTCCCGGGACAGCGGGGCTGCTGCAGACCAGAGGGCACCGCGCGAGGCCTGTTCCTGAGCACCCTGTGAGGCCAGGCTTCACCCAGAGGCTGCCCCCGCTCTCCACTCAGACAGCACACGTACTCAGTCAAGAGGGGGCAGCGCTGGAACCAAGGCCCCTGTCCCGAGGGACAGGGAGTGTTCTTTCTCGGGACAGCCTTGCCCACGCCGAGTGCTGTGGGCCCCGAAATGGCAGAGAACAGAAGCAGGGGACACACAGAGGCCCCGAGAACCTGACACCCACTGAAGGTCACAGAGCTGTCACATGTGCAGAGCTTGGGGCTGCGAGAGGCTGTCACCCTGTTGCCTGCCTGCCGAGACGGCACAGAGTGCTGCTGGTGGACCCCGCCCAGCCTCGCCCCAGGACCTGGGGGGACGCTCCTTCCATGCACATGATGTCATCTGTGAGACCTTGTGCCACATCTGGGTGTGCCCCCCAGCACCCACGTGCTGGGAACTCAACCCCCAATTGCTCGTGGTATTTGGAACTGGGGCCTTGGGAGGTGATTCAGCCAGATGAGGGCAGAGGGGGGCCTCCAGGATGGCATGAGTTGGGCTTCAAAGAGGAGGCAGCGAGCTCCGAGCGGGCACGCCTGCCGTCTCACCACGTCGTACCTTCTGCCACCTGACGATCTAGCCAGAAGGGCCAGCAACCAGCACCAGATTCTCGGGCTTCCCAGCCTCCAGAACCCTGAGCTCTCAGTCTTAATCTTTATAACCCTTATTCTTTATAAGTCATCTAGTCTCAAGCATTTTGTCATAGCAACAGAAAACAGGCTAAGACCCCTTCTCAGGAGGGATGGAGGAGCTGTGTCCCGTGCTAGCCCAGGGCTGGGTGGGCAGAGCTGGCACTGATGTTCCAACTGCCCTTGCAAGCCCCTCCTCCTCTCCTGGCTAGGGGCTGCTGGCTCTGGCTGGGCCTGAGAAGCGGGGCCTGGCCTGGAAGGCTACAGGCCGCTGTGCCGAGGGTGGCCAGATCCAGTGAGGCCCGGGCAGGGAGCCAGCAAGGCACATACTCACCAATTTTTTGTCCATTTTTGCTTTGATGTCTCTGGCGAGGGTGAAAAATGCCTGTGGAAAGACCAAGTTGTCAGTGCCCCTCACATGACAGGTCTCCGAGTCCCAGGTCACTTGCATGGAGTGGGTGTGACAGGCCAGTAAACAGCGCCCCATGTGTGGTTTCCCTTCTGGCCCCAGCTCTGCCTGCCCACCGGGACCGTCCAACGTCACATCTACTCTTACTGTAGACACGGGACTTCTGCCTGAGGCCCCAGCTGGCCCTTCTCCGTCACCTCTGAATGGCCTCCCAGGCCCCATCTGCTCTTCTGACAAACAGCCCCCACTCCCCACCGCCACACACACTCCCTGCCCTCGGAGGGCCCTATGGGGGGAGAGGCCAGACCTGGGCACAGGCCCCGTGACGTGGGAGGGCCTGCGTGGAGGGGGCTTGGTGAGGGGTGGGCAGCTTCCTCGTGTGGGCCAGAACCCCGAGGAGGCCTGGGAAGGGGGAGATGGGGTTCAGGGAGAGGAAGCACCAAAGGCCGAGAGCAAGGCCCAGGTGGCTGCGGGTGGAGGTGGTGGGTCAGGGCCCGGGAGGGAGGGGCCTGGCCTTTGCCCTTGTCACTGTAGGGAGTCTGGGGCAGTGTGATGTGGAGGTCCCTCTGGGCGCTGTCCCTAGGGTGGGGAGTGGAGAGGGTGACGGGGCGGGCTCCATCAGGGCTCCCTACCCTCTTGCCTTCAGCCGGTGGGACTCTGGGCCTGCTCCCCAGGTGCCCGAGAGCCAGTGAGAGGACATGAGCTGGCTACCCGGCGGGGCCTTTGCCCTCGTGGCAGCCAGGGACTTCCACGGGCTGCTGGCCCCGCACGCTGAGGGGAGCCCCCAGGAAGAGCCCCCGAGGACAGCTGGCACTCTGCAGCCGGGGCCGGTCCCTCCGGCAGCACCCCCTCAGCCCGAAGGGGCCAGTCCCAACAGGGCCCCAGACTCACGTTCTCCACGTTGATGTTGGCCTTGGCGCTGGTCTCCATGAACTTGATTCCATAGTCAAGGGCCAGCTGTGAGGGAGACAGTGTGCCCACGTCAGCCCGACCCGGGGTGTGCCAGGCCCTGGGTGGGCAGTGCCGAGAGGGCCGGGCCGCAGGCTCGCCCTGTGCTAGGGGACTGAGGAGGCAGTGGGGGACCCCCGAGCTCTAGAGGGGAGCAGGCCACAGCACCCCTCAGTGGTGCTATGGATGCAGCCGAGACCAGGAGGGCAGACAGGGGCCTGGGCAAAGCCACAGCCCTACCCCGCGCTCTCTGTGGCCTTGGCAGCTGACAGGTCGGGATGAGTTCCCGTGTGGCGCTGGACGGGGACAGCAAAGCACCCCAGGAGGCCCAGCCTCCCTGTGTGGCCGTCACCAGGAGGCACGGCTGGTGCGCTCTTCCCGCCATCCGGCTGAGGCATGTGCCCCGCTGGACGACCAACTCCCACTGGAGCCCCTCAAGCAAACCGGGATGGCAGGTCACTTTGTGCTCATAAAAACCATGAAGGGGACAGCCAGGCATGTGGCACATGAGGCTGAGGCAGGAGGATAGCCAACTTGGAGGCTAGCCTGGTAAAGCTCGCGAGACCGTCTCACGAGTTCAGTGGGAGAGCAGCCCTAGACTCAGTCCCAGCATCTCTCTCTCTCTCTCTCTCTCTCTCTCTCTCTCTCACACACACACACACACACACACACACACACACACACACACACACACGGAGGGCCGTAGCTGGGTGTGGCCGTAGCCCGGCACACACAAGGCCTGGGCTTCACCCAGCACCGCAAAAAACAAGGATCGTGAAGGGCCCCCCCAAAGCCCCAACTCTACATTGGTCAGCCCTCAGGGCGGCCCTCTGCGGCGAGAGGACCCTCTGCCCCTCGGCGCCCAGGAGGGCCATCATACCCACCTTCTCTCCCCGTTCCCTGGACACCTGTCTCTTGTCGTTCACATCACACTTGTTCCCAAGTATCATCTTCTCCACATCTGCAGAGGCGTGCTGCAGGGAGGGGACAAGGGTCAGACTGGATTGTGGGCAGGTGCCTTGGCCTGCATGCCACCCGTTCCTCAAAATCAGCGTGCTGAGGTCAGGTCCCACGTCGCCCAGCCAGTGCCAGGGCGGCAGCTTCTGACTGACCCCAGGGCTCAGCAGCCACTCAGGCGCATACTGTCTGAGACCTCCTGGTTGCTGAGAACAGCTTCTCTTTGGGCTGCGTCAACCAGACCCGGGGTCTGGCGGGAGGCGGGGGATGAGGCGTGCCCACCTTTCCCTCCTCTGCGGGACACCCTGGCTGCTGTCTCTGACCCTGCTCTCTCCTTCTCTGGGCTCTGGAAATGGGCCATGCTGGGTCACTGAGGCTCCCCACTGTCCCCAGCCCTGGGTACCTCCCCTTCCCCAGGGACGCCTCGCTCCTGGGCGCTCTTTCACAAACCCTTGCTTAGGCCCTGAAGGGTGCCCTCATGGGGTCCACCGCAGGGTCAGCCTGGCTCCCACTCTGTCCCCCACTCTGTCCCCACCTTCGGGGCTCTGTACTTCTAGCTCTCTCTGGGGACACCAGGAGGCGCCTTCTCCTCTCCAGCTCCATTCTGAGTGTGACCGTCGTGCTGCTCCCTGCTGCCCACGGCCAGACCCGGAGGGCAGCCACATCAGCGTGGCCGCCTCCCCTGCCACCAAGATGCCCCCCCAGCCCAGGCGCCGAGCCAGGCGGTGCGACTGCTCATGGAGCGCCTGGGACCCCGGGAGGACAGTGACCCTGCTTGTGCTGTGGCCTCTGGACGGGTGGAGCTCTCTGCTGGGGTCTCAGGCCCAAAGCCCCGGCGGGTCAGGCCTCAGGGCACCGCCCCCAGGGAGCTCTGGGGCAGGTCAATGTTCTGGGGACAGGAAGAGTCGAGGTGGGGCTGCCCTCCTCCGCCCTGTCCCTCCATGGTTCAGGGTCCCCTTTCACAGCCAGCTGCTGCCTGAACACAGGTGGCCTGCACCCGCTCACACCCTGCTCTACCGTAGCTCAAAGTGCAACGTGACGCGCGATCTTACCACACCCTCCAACACAAGGGTCACACTGGTTCTAGAGCCTTCTCTATGGAAAGCACCAAATGCTGATGGTGACCCAGGGCCCAGACAGCTTGACTGAGACTGGTCACACCCGACTGCCCAGCCCGAGCTCTCAGGCTGGTGTGTGGTCTCTGGGGTCCACCGCAGGGTCAGCCTGGCTCCCACTCTGTCCCCACCTTCGGGGCTCTGCACTTCTAGCTCTCTCTGGGCCTTGTGCTCACCTCCTCAATGTTCCGAATCCAGTTCCGGATGTTGTCGAAGGACTTCTCGTTGGTGATGTCGTAGACCAGCATGATACCCTGAGCAGGGGGGACAGGGACAGAGGCTCTCAACAAGCTGCAGGCCCTCTACACAGAGAGCCCCAGCAGGGTGGGGGCCATGTGTGCCTTTGTGGTGGTGACAATGTGACATGCTCCCTGCCAGCACAGAGAGCAGCGGCCCTCAGCTCAGGCTCAGGCGCAGGAAGCCAGCCCCTCTCTCCATCCCTGGGCTCCTTCTTTCCAAGGGACTCTAGCACCGGCTGCCCTGTTCTCCCAGGCCAGCCTTGGCCACCAAGGTGACCTTTCTGCCCCCAGGCCAAACCCTGCCACACCTTGCTCACAAGTCTTGCTGGCTCCAGTCAGCAGGCCAGGCGTGGGCCACGTGCCCAACAGCAGAGCGCCCTCGGCCTTCACCCTGCGAGCCCTGCTCCAAGGGCCCTGCAGCCCGCCCTGCTCTCCTCAGGCCGACCCTCCGCTGCTACTGGCCTCCTCCCCACCTCACTCACCCTCCCTAGATCGCCTCCCAGGCTCAGTTGGGGCCTGTCTGGGGCCAATGGCAGTGGCATGGCAGTGGGTCTTGCTACAGCCACCTGTGCCCTGGCAGTGTCCCCTCTGCAGCAGGAAATCTGAGGTGGACTGTGCTCTAAGCCCGTCTAGTTTCATCGGAGGAAATGAATGCAGAACTGGGGTCCCCCAGGGAAGCCTGACGCTGATGCCCAGGTGCCCTCTGTGAACCCTCAGAGCAGAGGCCAGCGTCAAACACTGGGCTAAGTGGCACCGCGGCCCTTCTGTTCCCTAGCCAATGCGCAGAGGCAGCTGGGAGCCAGGCCCCGGGTCCTGAGTGCGGAGCGGCCCCTCCACTGCTGTCTGCTACAGGGGACCGAGGCTCCGGGAGGGGCACCTCTAGGCTTCCATCCCAGGGGGGGCCAGCTCTGACAGAGGTGATGACCCTGCTCCTGTTAGATCCCCCTTCTCAGCACCAAAATAAAGCACGGAGCCCTTCACCAGACCTCGTGCTGCCCTGGGTGTCACCTGTGGAGGGCCAGCCTGCAAGGCCAGCACAGTCCCCTTTTGGGGCTGAGCACTGGGCTCTGGGGCAAATGGCCAGCTCATGCCCCGGCCTGACTCACTCCCTTACTCCAAGCCACTTGCTCCCTGGGATGAGCCCTGTGTCTGGGGCACCTCAGGGGGCACTGACCTCTGGTGCTGGCCAGGACATTTCTGAGGCCACCCAAGTTTGCAGAGAAAGAATGAGCTGGGCAGCCCCAGGCAGCAGCTGTGCCAGACAGAGCCTCTGCCCCGTCACTGCTGACCCCAAGACGCAGTGAGGGCTGAGGCTCCTCAAAGGTGCCACCCGGGACCCTCATTCAGGAGTCTCTAGGGGACACTTAACAAAGACTGCTAGGGGCAGGCTGGGGAGGTGAGGGAGGCCGCGATGCTGGTCATGCCCCAGCCCACAGCCAGGGCAGAAGACCTGCACATGCTCTGCCCTCAGGGGCCAGACGCCGAGACGCACAAAGCCCTCTTTGCCATTATCCAAGGACCGTCTCCTAGGAGGCCCAGGATTCCTGCTGCCACCAATAAATTGGCGCCACTGTCCAAGACTCTAAGTTCCTGGATATTTACCTATGGTGTGGGGAGGAAGGGGATCATCTGGGGACAAAACACTGGGCTGTCACCTGTCCCAGGTTTTCTTGGAAACTCCCTTCAGTGGGTATTTCTGGTTCCCGCACAGGGAACACCCTCTGTCTGGAGGCTTCCGATGGGACACCAGATACCCAGGGCTTGCCAAACCTGGGGTTTCTAGGGCCACGCTGAAGCACAGGCAGTGCCCCTGCAGGGGTGGTGACTTTCTCTGCTGTCACTGGCCATACTCGGCTCAGGGCACCTGAAATGTGCTGGTTTGGAGGGGCTGGGTTTCAACTTCCACTGATTGAGGGTGGCTAGCGCCTGCTGTGGGCAGGACTGGCCAGGCGGGGAGGGCTGAGAGCCACCGGCGCCTCCTGCTGGCCGAGCACATGGGCCCCGGCCCGCCCCCTGTGTGACCAGCCCCGGCTCCTGGTTATCAAGCAGGGATAGCGATGCCACCTGCACGCGGAGGATCCTGGCCAGGCTGCAGGGAGGTCACTCAAGCCAACATGGCACTACTGTCTGAAGCACGGGAGGGCTCAGGGGACCACGCGGACTGGCTATTTCAGCCCAGAGACGAAAAGAAGAGCCCGCACAGCCCTTTCCAGGGGGCAGAAGGTCCCTGGGACCCCAGTGGCCAGGGGCCCCGCTCCACCACCCTCCACCAGAGCACAGCAAGGCGAGGGGAAAATAAGCGATTAATTTTGATGAACAACACTAACATTGCGAGCCTCCGATTGAGTTTCCGTTGTTTCAGACTTTGAGTGGGACGCTCTAAATACTTAATGCCTTCCTTCCTCGCTACGCACGCACGCACGCACGCACGCCTCCCTGCGCTCCTCCTGCAGACCCACGGTTCCCAGGCACTGAGCTTGTGCGGTGTCTGAGGCGCGGCACTGCCCTCACCGAGCTTCTGGTCTAGTGGGGGAATCAGGAACCTATGCACCCAAATGTTGGGGTGCACATGGAGGGGGTGCTGGGAATGAAGGGACGGTCACTCATCCTCACAGCAGCCGGACGCACACTCCTGCTCCCTGTTCCATTTTCCAAGTAGGAAACAGCTCAGAGGGTGGCCCCGATCCTAGGCAGGGCCAGGGGGTCCGCTTCCTACTCCCACTGGGCCCTGGATCCCCTGCCTTGTCTACTCCTCCCGTGAGCAGGACCTGCAGGCAGCACCGGCTCTTCCCCTCCCCTCTAGCTCTGAGCAGGCCCCGAGCAGGCGCTGGTGAATGAGGGAAGGTGAACAGCCTTCCTGCAGCTCAGCCTGCAGCAGGCCTGGGCGACGGGTGAAGCACCAGTTATTAGCCCCAAACAAGTCAGCGCCTGGAAGGTCTTCAAGTGTGGGTAGCAAATTCCACAGGGGCTGATGTGGGCCATGTGACCCCTCTAGGTGTTGGGGCAAGCCAGCTCTTAATTTCAGTGACCTCACCTGGAAGAACCGGCTTCCAGGGCTTCTAGGTCTTCCTTGAATGACTCTTCACTTTGTGTAAACCCTGCATTGTCTCTGAAGCCAGGGGGCATGGTGCACACGGGAGGGGAGGGGGCGGGAGGGGCGCACTGTCTCTTCCTGAAACTAACACAAGACCCACCCGCCGCCCAAGGAATCAGACACAGGCTGCACAGAACCACCAGGCTTTGGCGTGGGTGGCACACGGATGCCCGCTTGACTTCAAAAAAGACAAAACGAAAAATCCATACCATGGCTCCCCGGTAGTAGGCCGTCGTGATGGTCCGGAACCGTTCCTGGCCGGCTGTGTCCCTGACATGAGGAGGATCAGGCACATTAGTGATAACACAGGCAAGACTGTCCCCAACAGAGGGCAGCAAGCATTTCCTGAGGACAGCCCAGGGCCTCTGCTCTCCCTGGGACGACAGAAAAGGGAACTCTGGCTTGAGAAGTTGAAGACCTCGGGCGTCTTCCAGCTGGGGATGTGGCAGGGCCAGGATCTCGTTGGCCCCTGTCCCCTCTCTTCTGTGCAGCTGCTTCCAGTGAACTCTGCCTGGGGTTGCTACGTCACAGAAGAGCCAGACTGAACACTAGTGACTGACACCCAGGGCCACTCAAGGAGAAGGCTGGTGGTCCCGCGGACCACAACCACAGTCCTGGCCGTTGGGGAGCACAGCTGAGCTCGTCCACTTGGTTTGGGGGGCGGGGAGCCCTCCTCACTTCTCTGTGATGGGGAGTGTTCCCATGGTCCATGGTTCCCTGGGCCAGAGGCAGCCACGCCCAGCCCTGCTCTTGGCCAGGAGGATGGTGTTTGGTTTAAAGGTCGCCTAACTAACTGATGGGTGGCAGGGCCCGGACAGTAAGCAGCAGCCTGGGACGCCTTCTGTCCCTGGCCTGTTCCTCCTGCGGAGGCCCCAGCTGCTCACTCCGTGCCGGGTTCACTCTCTACCTTTTGTGGTGATTCTGGGGTGCTGGGGTGGAACCAGGGCCACACCCAGACCTCCGAGCTGCACCCTGGCCCCAAAGCTACCAGTGCTTTTTTTTTAAGTTCGAGGGGGACGGTGGGCTGGTTAGGGCAGTCACTAATTCACTCCTCCATCAAGGTTGCTAAGAGCAGAAGCAGGAGGAGAGGAGGAAGGGAAAGCGTGACTTCTGCTTGCTGCTACAGTGTCCCTCGGACTTGGGCACAAGGCTGCAGTGGGGCCACCGTGTTGGAGTAGAGGACCTTTTTTTTTATGGCTTGTAACTGACAAGGTGGCCAGAGACTGAATGGCTACCCAGCTCTGCGGGTTGACAAGGAATGACACCTCATCCAGTTTTGGGGTCTGAAATCAGATTAAGGGACGAGCATGGCTGGAGTGGAAGACACCTTCGGGGCTCTGAGCTCACTCAAGACAGAGTCAGGGAGGACAGTGTCAGGGCCCATCTCAGGACCCCACCAGGATGACCCGCTGCCACCCAAAGGTGCCTGACTGGTGTGGGGGTGAGCCACTCGGCAGCGTGACTCGTCCCTGCGCGTGGTGAGGGTGCGGGGCTGCCCTCTAGCCGACCACCGGGACCCGGCCGCCCAGCCGCACAGAGTCAGTGCCATGGTGGGGACTTGGCAGCTCACAACTTCCCCAATTTAACGTGGCAGGGGAAGTCGCCCTCGGGTCTGAGGACAGGTCCCACCATTGGGCCTGGCCTCCTCTGAAGGCTTAATTCCAGTTTGGGGGTTTCGGTCTGCACGCCAGAAGGGAGGCCCGGGAGCAAGAGGAAGTGATATCAGACCTTGGCCCCAGCGAGCTGCCAGCTCAAAAGGAAACTCCCAGCCAGGCGACCTGCTTTCCCCGTGCCGTCCTCACCACCTCACCCGCCAGGCACAGAGACTCTCCCAGCCCAAGGGCGAGCTGCCTGGCCCTGGGCCTGGCTGGCCGGTGCTGGAGTACTGGATGCTAAGCTAACGACAGGGAGTTCTGCCCCACGGCGCAGACACGAGGCCGAGCAACCAGCAGAACCCAGCTCCCTGGGCGGGTGGGAGCTCCAGGGGCTCTGAAAAGCGTAGTCAGGGCTGGATGGGAGAGGGCAGGGGTCACAGGGGCAGCACCCGGGTGGGCACCCGGGGCTCTGGCCTGAGCGTGGCTGAGTGGAGGGCCCGCCCAGCGACGACTCTCACCATATCTGCAGTTTGATCCTCTTGCCATCAAGCTCTATGGTCCTGATTTTAAAGTCAATTCCTGAAATAAAAAAAGCAAAGGGATGTCATTGCCAGCCCCTTCCTAGCTGCGTGGGAGACAGGCGCGGCCACCGAGCAGGTCACAGCCGTGCCGGCATGTGGAGCGCCTGCCTGGCGCTGGGCCTGGGGATCTCAGAATCCACATCTAGTCTGGAAGCATCTGGAAATGCGTCTCCACAAGGAACCTGGGGCTTTGGGGGCTGCTGGGAGCTCCCGGGGAGGAGCCAGGGCAGGGCTGAGGGTAGACCCTCAGACCCAGGTCTCAACGCTCCCTCTCACGCCCTCAATGCCCGCTGAACACGCCCCTGCCCAGGGCAGCCTCCCACAGCTGGCCTCCAAGGGCCCTCCCCACCGCCCGGCACACCAGAGCTCCTGCTGCCGACCTTTCTCTGCAGGTGGCCTATGCCCTGCCTGCCTATCCAAGACCTGCTCAAAGGTTACCAAGAAGCCTTCCTGACCCTACTCTCCTCCCTTCCCACCTGCTACTTTTAATTCCCTTTGCCCAGGCTAACCCCAAGCTCTCCAGGCTGCCAGGGCTCCCCCTTGGGCCCTCTCCAGCCTTCAAAAATACAACTATGTCAAAAGCTAATCTCTTCTCCAGACTTTCCAGTGTGGCCATAAACCAGACGTGGAATATTATTCAGCCTTAAAAAGGAACAAAGCACTGCCACAGGCTACCATGTGGACAAAACTCAGAAACACAATGCTGAGTGTAGAAGCCAAATGTGAAAGGACAAAGACTACGATTCCATCAATGTGAAATGTCCAGAAGAGGCCAATCCATACAGACAAGGAGTATACTCACGATTGCCAGTGGAGGAGAACGGGAAGATTAAGAGGGCTGGCTTAGGAGTCCAGGGGCTTCTTTATGGAGCAATGAAAATGTTCTAAAACTGATTGCTGAATGGATGCCCCATTGTGAACGTACTAAAAGCCACCAAATCACACATCCCAATGGGCAGATGTAGCATATGAGTTCCACCTCAAAAGAGTTGTTTAAAGAGTATCAACCCAGGCCTGGAGATGCAGCTTGGAGGCTTACCCAAGTAAGCCAAGGGTCCTTACCCAGCACACTCGAGCCCTGGGTTCGATGCCCAGCACCACAACAAGAACAACCAACGCAAATCATCAAGCCACATGCACACCTTCCGGAGGCTGTCCTGTGCCTCCCAGTCAAACTGAAACAGCTGCCCCAGCGTCTCAAGGGCCTGCCTGACCGCGTCACCTCGTGGCACCCACTGGTCAAGACCCTCTTTCTGGCCACACTGACCCGGTGGCTCTTTCCGAAACCCCCCCAGCACGCGCCTGTCCCTGGCTTTCCCATGGCTCTTCCCTCTCTGGAACGCCGTCTCCCTCCACAGCCTCTGGGTCCCATTTGCTCAGGTCCATGTTCAAGTGGCCTCAGGGGAGCCTTCCAGCCCATCGTCACCTCCTCTCCCCTGGCCTGTCCTCTCCTCTTCACCAACTTTTACCAACACTGGATCCAGTCGTCCTTCGGTATCCGACCAGGACTGGTTGCCCAATCCCCTGAAGATACCAAAATCTGGGGATGCTCCCGCCCCTTCTTTAAGATGCGGTGTTTCACTGGATCCCTCCACATCCTGGAGACTCGGAGACTCAGATCTTCCCTAGGTGACTTCTAACTCCGGATACAATGCAAATGTTTTGTAAACAGTTGTTACATTGTCTTGTTAAGGAAGAACGACAAGAAAAGTTTTGTACATGTTCAGTACTGATGTAAGCCCAATTCACGGTTGAATCCATGGGTCAGACCCTGCGCACACTGAAAGTCAAACTGCTCAGGGGAGCCCTGGGTAAAACCTGCCCCATGAGTGGTCTCTGTGGAGAGAAGAGCCAGACCCAACCTTTGTCCCTCAGGCTGTTCTAAACTCTGCTGGAGAAGACGGGAGGCCTAGGTCTGGCCTGACCTCTCAGAACCCATGCTGGGGACATTAACTTGGTCCCTGCCAGCCTCCGAGTTGTCCTGGGGACCAATGGGAATACAAGTCTGCACCTGCATTTCACCCACTAGAACATAAGCCCCCTGAGGGCAAGGCTTGAGGCGTCTTCCTGCTGTTACCTCCAGTGACTAAACACCGCGGGGCTGGCATGCAGATGTGCCAGACCTCAGTCCCCAGACACCTCGGCTTCAGGCCTCACTACATTTATGCTTCCCTTGGATTCTCCTGAGTCCTTTCAGTGGCCCCAGCACCAAGGCTGACATCAGGCACTGCTTAAAAGGTGGCCGAATGACAAATTAGAAGCAGCCGGGTCAGCGTGGTGCTGTATGGCTTAGGAAGCGCTTTCTGAATGTCATCCTTCTTGATGAAGCAACGAATGGGCCCCTGAGGAGCTGCGCTGGTGAGAACCAATTCCAGAGAGCCACAGGGCCAAGTTCATACCACAAGTCATCAATGGAGCTGAGGAGAATGGGCTCTGGCAAAATCATAAGAAGGGCAGAAATGAATAGCTCCTCAATCCCTGATCTATAAAGAAAACCCAGAGCTAAACTCAGTGCCAACAGACAGCTGCCTCCGTGGATTCAGCGTATTCAGGGCAAGCAGTCCCGGGTCCTCGGATCCGAAAACACTCCCCACCTCTTGTCAGAGATGCTCAGAGATATCAAGAAGCACTGTTCACCGGCCAAGCCCATCACTTTGTCTTTGCTCCTCCTGGGTTTTATTAACACTCCAAATTTAATTAGGAAGTATAAACTTTACGAGGCCTAAGAATTATGAGGCCATAACTTCAAGGTCATGGCAAATTAAACTTTCCTAGAAGACAGGAGGCCCATAGAAAAGCTACAAATGTAGTGTGAAGAACGCTAGAGGTGGGGCTGGGGAGGTGGCTCAAGCGGTAGCGCGCTCGCATGGCATGCGTGCGGCCCGGGTTCGATCCTCAGCACCACATACCAACAAAGATGTTGTGTCCGCCAAATACTAAAAAATAAATATTAAAAAAATTCTCTCTCTCTCTCTCTCAAAAAAAAAAAAAAAAAAAAGAACACTAGAGGAAGGAGGGAACGTGGGTTCAAGTGCTACCTCCACTTCCCTAAGTGACCTTGACCAAGTCACATCTTCATCTGCAAATGAGAAGGCCAGCCTTCTTGGAGCTCAGAAGTGCTAGAGAGGGTCCTGGTTAAGAATTAAAAACCCAGCAAAACAACCCGAGCTGATCTCAACAGTGCTTGCACTGAGCAGGAAGTACCTGAGGCTGAGCACCTGAGCTATGGGATGAGAGTGAGCCACTGTCTTGACAGGAGTCAACACCACTTCCTGGCTGTTTGGGACTCAAGGGCTACCAAAGTTTGACCTTGAACAAGAGAGGGGGAGAGAGTTCAGAAACACCTGTGCCTCAAGGTGATGCTGTAGGAGCCGCTCTGCTTGCCCTGGACGGCCTCTGGCAATGGTAATAAGCCTTTATTCATGGTGTACTTCTGAGCTTCAGCCACCCAGGGCACTGGCCAAGGCAGATGGCATCTGGAAATCGGGCATGATTTCCAATCCAATCCCTTCTGCATGTAATTGTTTTACAAAGTGCAGGTCCTGGAGCAGGGCAAGGATGGAGTTAGCACATCACGGTGGGATTCAGGGAGATAAAAATGACTTGGTTGATGTTACACAGGGGAAAAGCAAAGCTCATCCCCTAGGTTTCTAGTTTGGGACAAAGTTTCTGGGCTTGGTGACCATCTCCCCTCCTGAGCAGGACTAGGTAGCTCCCAGGCCACTCTGATCCAGCAATGACGGTTTTTGTGGCAAGGAGAAAAGTCAGCTCCACCTCTGTGGATGACAGAACTGAGATGCGACAAGCCAGTTCTGTTCAACCACAATGCGGGCTGGCCCTGCAGGAAAAGCTGTACTGCAAAGTGAATCCTGGGTCCTGTGATAGGGAAGTCAAGGTTTTCTGTGGCAGTGGCTGATTTCAGTTTCTCACCGAGGCTTTATCTTGCATCTCCTTGGGGATGACGGGTCCCAGGGCAGGCAGCTGTCACTTGCCATTGCTGTCACCATTCCCTCTAGAAGAAAGTCACTCTTGGGAGTTGAGAGGAGAAATGGCTCAACTCCTGAATATTCCAGAGTAAAGAGTGGGCTCCCCTGCTCTTTATGGATTGGAGTCCTAGCTCCAAGGTGGATAAGCTGTGCCTGTTCTAGGGGGTGCATGGTGGCATCATTCTGGGGTGGCTAAGCCTCAAGTTTTAGGGTCTGATCCACCCAAGTTCGAATCTTATTCTTGCTACAATAACCTTCGGTGAGTCCCAAGCCCTCCCTGAGCCTCCAAATTCTCATTTGTAAGATGAGCTTATACACAGGACCTAACATAGGATACGGAAGAGTGTGAAAATGCACAGAAAGAAAATGCTCAATAAGGTCAGGTGTCACTATCCCTTTTCCATGCCAACTCCCCATGTCTCAGTTTCCACCTCTGTAAGAAGGACCCCTAAAGAACCGTTTCGAGGGCTGCTTCGAGGACAGAAAGAGATGACAGGCGTGATGACCCCAGTTCAGGACATAAACTTCCGAACAGGCTGGGGATCAGAGAATCTGTGTCCCCTTCTGCACAATGGGCATTAGTCCCACCACCAGGACTCGGGAAACCCAGAAAGGAGGTGGAGAGGGCTGCTCTTCTCCCATCAGACCCCCTCGACCCTCTCGGAGCCCTGGACCCGACCAGCCGGGTCGACCCCTCTGCCCCAGCAGCTCCGGGGCGCGCCAGGCCCAGGCCTCCAGTGCCCCCGACCGCCCCCCGGCCCCGCTACCTATGGTGGAGATGAAAGTGGAGTTGAAGGCGTCCTCGGAGAAGCGGAACAGGACACAGGTCTTCCCCACCCCCGAGTCCCCGATCAGCAGCAGCTTGAACAGGTAATCGTAGGTCTTCGCCATATTACACTCTCTCCCGGACGGGAAGTGCGGACAGCGCCTCGCCACTGGCCGCTGGCCACGTCCATCAGTGCCGAACCCGCCCCCCATTGGCTCCCGGCCCGACGCGCGTCACCGCGGCCGACGCCCGCCCCAGAGCCCCGCCCTTCGCGGGGGGACCCGGGGAAGGGGCGAACTGGGTCCGGAGCCGGAAGCAGCCCGAGTGCGCCGCCCATTGGCCCGCTCTTGGAACAGGGCTGGCTGCGATTGGCCCACGGTGAAGAGTCAGGGGCTTCAAATGGGACCAGAGAGGGGGCCTGGCATTCCGAGTCCCCGCCTTATTCTCCCCAATCTGAGCGGCTCCGCCCCGCCTCCCGAAGGGAGGGGGAGAGCGGGGCGCGCCTCCAACGGCTCCGCGCGCCGGCAGCTCGGGGGCGGGGCCTGGCGCATGTGCGCACGCGCACTGGGAAGACCGTTGGTCTCCAGCAGAGGGCGCAAGCGCGTGGAGGGAGCGCTAAGGCCCGACCCAAGGCGCGCAGCCGCAGTAGGTGTCGAGGCGAGCGCGGGAAGGATGGGTGGTGGTGCTGACACGGTCAACTGCAGGTTTAGGTGCCAGCCCCGGGAGGGCGCAGGTTGTACTCGTAAAGCAGCTCCTTGAGCCGTGCCTCCGGGTCGTGGTGCTGTCCAGAGGGCCTACCTAGAAGACCTCCGCGGGCTGCGCCCTGGGGCGCGCTGGGACTCCGCAGGATCCGCCCTCCGACCTAATTAGGCCGACCCGGCCCACCCGCCCCCAGGGCCTCCTCCCAGCCTCGTCTGGCCCGCGGCGGTCCAGCCCGCAGGCACGCCTGGCGGTCTCGCACCTGCTGGGGCAGTCAGGACAGTGACAATTCTAGGTAGCATTTAGGAGCGTTGGTTCTGCGCCTGAAGGTGCTCTGCACACTTGTAAAAGCAAAAACATACTGAATCCCCACACCAGCCCAGCCAGGTAGGTATTACTTTCTAGTTTTATGGTGAGCAAAAACTGAGGTCAAAGGAGGTTAAGTGACTTTCCCAGGCTCCGAAGTGGGAAATTGGATTTGAACTCAGATCGTCACGCTTCGCAGGCCAGTTTGGGCCCCAGGGCTTCCTGCTTGTCACTCGTGTCCCAGTCTCTGGTGGATCACTCTGGGACTCACCTAAGGATATGCTGACAGCTGGCCATAGCCTGTCCTCCTGCCCCTTCAGCTCATCTACCTAGGTTGGGGGAAAAGTTCCAACCAGAGCCATTGACCACTTTCTGGGCCTCCGTCTCCGTGGTGTTACTCTTGTTCTCTGGATATTTTCTCTTGGTGCTCTCCCCATTTTGCCGGCTTCTACCACTCCCCCTTCTCTGGACACTGCTCATCAAGCCCACTACAGCCTTTTGGTCAGGGGGTGGGGGGGGATTTCTGTTTATTCTCTAGGTGTTGTTCTTCATGGATCTGTTTTTACTCACCTTCTGGGTGATCTCGTTTGCTCCCGTGGCTTTTAATATCTCCACGCCAACAACTTTGTTGGTGATCCATAGCCAGCCAGCCCATGTTTATAGCCATCCCTCCATATTTAACTGCTTTCTCGTCATCTGCCTTTGGATTTGTTAAAGATACTTCAAATGCAGTTATGTCCACCACTGAACTCCTCTATCCAGACTAGCTTGGCCTGAGTGAGACCTCAGTCATCTTTGACATCTTTCTTTGATCTCTGACATCAAGGTTCTTAGGAAGGTTCAGAACAGTGTTTGAATCTTGCTCTCCCATTTCCACTGTCATAGGTCATCACATTTCTCCACTGGCCTCACTGGCCACTCCTCTAACCTAGATACACCCTGCAGTGTGCTCATTTTAAAACACTTATCTAATATCTGTTGTCTCTCAGCTGGGTAAAAAAACAAACAAAAAAAAACTTCACCCTAGTGTTTGCCGCCCTTCACAGTCCTCAACTCGCCTTGTATTCCACCCATACTTGATGGCATTGGGAACTCCCCAAGAGCTGGGCCACGTCAGTTAAGGAACACTGGACCCTGAAATGCTGAGGTGCAAAGATGATTAAAACAGGATCCTGAGGTTAGATTACAACCCAACAGGGTGGGGAGGGAGAAAAGAGGTACTTAAAGGAGGAACTTCCATATAGTATCGGTGGGTGGGGGCTTAGAGGAGAGAAGTATACTGTATTCAACCTCCCCCACACCTGCCATCTACATTACATTTTAAAGGCTTTCATTTCTCTTTGATTCCTTACCTCCCCTCCCCAAGCCAAGATCTTGAGTAAACTAAGAGAGCAATTCAGGTAGTGAAACAGTAGTGACTTGACACTCTCTTTTCTAAATTCCCTGCCACCCACTTGGCTAAAGTTTAAATTACTTTCTTCTGATTACTTCTTCCCTCTTATTTCATGGAAGGCACTACTGTGGATTATTGATTTTCCCAACTTGTTTTCCCTCTAGTCTGCTCCCCCGAGTCCTTCCTCATAATGCATGCAGAGTGGAATTCCCTAGTTTTGCTCTGATCTGCTTACTTCAGTCTTCAGTGCTTCTCCACTCCTAACCATACTAAGTTCAAGTTCTCATCAGTGTGGACCCAGCCTACCTTCCAACTGTACACGTGCTTCCCTTTAATTGTGAAGCATACAGAAACTTTACTCAGGCAGATCTTGTACTTGTCTAACTCAGGCAGTAGAAACCACCTTCCATGTTCTCACATCTATTAAAATCCTACTTATTCTTCACAACCTGGCTTAGGCAGGACTGAGGATCACAGGACAGGAGCTTCTGAGTAACTGAGGCTAAGCACACACTCTGCAATACGGAGATCACAATCTATCATGAAGTCATGGTATAACGCAAAAGTTCTTGGCACAATTACCTTCTCTTTCTACCCAATTTACATTTGTTAAACCAAAATGCTGTTATGCCCCCACCCATTTTGAAATTCACACAAATTGTCATTTATGTAAAAATTTATTTGACCAAAATGTAGAAAAAGTGATACTATTACATATGATACAGTTGCAAGAATCTAAAGAAAAGTATGGATTTTATTCAGCTGCACAATTTGCTAGTGTATCTCCTGGGTAGTGTGATGCTTAATAAATAGGAGTGAGGGGCAGGGGATTTGGATAAGCTGGAAGCAGGGTGAATTTAGTCACAATTGTAAACTCAAGTTGGTCCCCACACTGTTGGGGAAATGTGGAATGTTTCAGCTCTGAGATGTTAACAGAGAAAGCAAAAAATACAACAAAGCCAAAATGTGCAGCCCCTGCCTCAAAGTTCTCCATATCCAGTTTCATCAGGAGTTTCTTGGTCTTTTATTAACTTGGTCCCAAAGAAGGAATTCAAATCTTGGATAATTTGCCATTCCCTGAAGGATGGAGGTCAGGCCAATTACTTTTCTATATCTACTTTGCTGCCAGAGAGACCCCTTCTGCCCAACATGTTTCTTGACAGGAAAAAAAAAAAAAAAAAAAAAACAACTCTTCTGTGTAATTTACGGATGGCTAGCAGTCTTTTTGATATGGCTGACCCTAACAGGATTGTACTGCACAGTATTCCTGCTCAGGTATGGCCCCAAGAGCTGACAAGCTTGGGTCATTATTAGAATAAGACACTTGCTCATCAGAGGACAACTTTAGAATGAAAGAAAAATGTAGAACATAGCATCAAGGATTTTCCAGGCAATTCCTGGGTAAATATTATGACTATTTCCCAAGCACTGTCAAGCTAACTGCTCCAAGGATATGTATTCTGCACAGTGGAGTGTGGAGAAGGGCGGGACGACTAGGTTTATCTATGGTTCATGGTTTCCCACGCTGGCTCTTTTTTTTTTTTGCTCTGGATGGGAAATCCCCACCCATTTTATTGTGATGGTCCCTAGCCTCCTGTAACTTGGCCAACAGTGACCCAGAACCGTTACACCCGTTAGCATCTTAAATCAACCCATGACTAGACATCGGAGCCTATTCTTGAAAGTGTGGGGTTGACTATATTCCCAGGAACCAAAAGCCCTCCATCTGAAGGGAGTATGCTCAGTATGAAACGCCCTGCCTACCTTAGTAATAAATGCAACTTAAGGATAAAAGTAGAGCTGAGAAAGCTGGTGCCATTTGGAAATTTAAAAAAAAAAAGGGGGGGGGGAGGAATTAGATTTAACTGGTGCCCAAAGCTTCTTTGATACAAAATATTTGGTCACATAATCATAATTTGCTTGAAATCCCAGCAAAGCGAAGATGCAATAACAAAAGAAACTTCTTACAAAAGAAGAGAAAGACWTGGAGCTCTAGGTTTTCTGTTGGAACAAGACTCTTCCGGTTCTGGTTATATACAGTTAAGTTCATTTAGTGTCTGATCCAGTGTCTGATGTAGGCCCAYGTTCTCTTCTTTGGCCTGGGCAAGTTTTTCTGGTGGAATCAAGAGGGAAGGGAAAAATGAATTAACAAGCATCTTTGTTAAAGGGGAAACAAACAAACGAAAGTCTCTAAACCTCAAACTACCAAAGGGCAAATCAGAGCAGAGAAAATACTCTATTTTAATTAGAGCAGAATACCACAGAATAACAGGGACCGAGAACCCGATTTTGAAGTCAAGTTTGCAAGATAAAATACAAGGTGCCCACTCAAACTGAGTTTCATACAGACCACAAATAATGAATCCCTAACATTGCATGAAATATACTGAGGCCAAAAATATTACTGCTTTGCCTGTCTGAAATTCAAATTTAACTCAGTGTCCTGATTTTGATTTGATAAGTCTGGCAACTCCAGAGTCACAGCACCTGGATTTAAGCTCTGGTTGCACCACTGAGGCAAGCGAGTTAGCTCTCCAGGTCTGCTTCCCCGGATGTCAAACTGGGAAATGACCTCAGCATGTGACATGGGGAATAAATGAGAGATCCTTCAGAACTTATGGAATGCTATACAAACTTAAGATATCAGTTCTAGTTTTGGGTGCTTATAAGTCCCCCCCCCATGCCAGTTAATGAGTGGCTGACTCAGGGTAGGAAAATGTGACCCTGTAACCCCTC